GGCTTTGTGCCTGTGTGTCCCTGTGCTGGTCTGTACGCCTTTGTGTCTGTGAGGGTCTGTATGGCTATGTGTCTGTGTGTACCTGTGCTGGTCTGTACGCCTTTGTGTCTGTGAGGGTCTGTATGGCTATGTGTCTGTGTGTACCTGTGCTGGTCTGTACGCCTTTGTGTCTGTGAGGGTCTGTATGGCTATGTGTCTGTGTGTACCTGTGCTGGTCTGTACGCCTGTGTGTCTGTGGTCATTTATACGCCTGTGTGTTTGTGCCAGTGTCTGTCCCCTCCCCGCTCTGATGCGAAGCAGGCATTGATGAGACCGCCTAACAAACTAAGCCAATCACTACGCTGGAATTCCTGACTGGCAGCTAGAGTGGAGATAAGAGTGAGAGAAGGATGTGGAGCGCAGACTTGGCACAGACACAGACAGGTAGCCATTAGTATGGCTGAGATGGACACGGGTCCAATCAGATTTCAATGACTATTTTTATTTTCATTGATTTCACATTGATTTTCACATCTCCCCATTTGCACTGCTGCAGAGGGATGTTTCTGTGTAACCTGTCTGTCCCACCTTACAGGTTTCATCTTCATCTTGCTCTAATCTAGGGCTGCTTTACTGTTATCTTTCATTAATTACTGACAGAAAATTACCATCATCTCTCCTTCATCACCCGTTTCTCAAATGTACCTTAAGGTGCAATGTCTTCAGGAATGTGACACCACAGTCTGCCGAAACAGCAGAGTGAATTCTCCCTCATCAGAGTGTGACTGCGCTGATCTATAGCCTCACAGTCCTACAGATCTACAGTTCCACAGTCCTAAAGCTCAACAGCCTCACAGTTGTACAGATTTGTTGCCTCATAGTCCAACAGATCTATAGCCTCACATTCAACCAATGTACATCCTCACAGTCCTACAGATCTACAGTCTCACTGTACTACAGATCAACATTCTCACAGTCCAAAAGATCTACATCCTTACAGTCCAAAAGATCTATAACCTTACAGTCCTACAGATCTTCAACTCCACATTCTTACAGATCAACAGATGTACAGTGCTACAGATCAACAGTTCCACAGTCCAACAGATCTGCAGTCACACAGTGCTAAAGACAGCAGCAAGACAAAACGTCAATACTACAAAACCCTTTAGAGTACAAAAAACTGGACCTAGGCTCTTTAGTGTACTTTACTGAAGACATCAGCCACGTCTAACTCAGCTGATGTCTTCATGCGTGGCATTAGTCCCCCCCCAGGGAGACTCACCAGGGAGCGGCACTGCTGCCTTTCATGCCTGAGGGTTGCCACCTCCAGCCTGAGGCACCTGTTCTTTTCCTCTAGGAGGCGCCAGCGCTCTATGCTCTGGGGTGGCAGCACCCTGAGTTGCTGGGTTGGGAGGTCACTCCGTAGCTATGGGGCCAGGTCCATGGGGGAAGAAAGGAAGGAGAGAAAAAGGGCAAAGAAAGAAACCAGGGGGATGTATGGAAGAAAAAGAAGTGGGAACCAGACTCCAGACTTTACTTTTTATGCATCAGAAGGTGGGGCTGTTTCCTCATGTTGGCCAAAGCCTTCTATGATGCCAGTATGCATGCTCTCCTGTGCTTACATGTTCTTTTCCATGTTTTTGTGCTCATTTTTCAACCCACATTGTAAAGACACACAATGCACATGATCAGAGGAACCGATGTTGGTCTTGGTGTGTGACTCTTTGAGTACTCTTTTGTAAAAAAAAATGTATTTATCAGTTGGCAGCAACTGGGGTTAAGTGCCTTGCTCAAGGACTTAAAGGCAAAATCATACTGGTAGCCATGGGATATGAACCAGCAACCTTCTGATCACAGGCATTTCTTGTGTTTATCTTCAGTCTTGTTTTTATTTATATTTATCCTTGTACCTACTGCTGTGTTCTGCCTGTAAGCTGCCATACAAAACTTCATACAATGTCAATAAACTGCTGTCTTATGTTATCTCTTACAGTGTCCCAACCCACAAAGACTTTACTGAAGCGAGAGATCTAAGTAATACTGTTTACTTAGCAGAATAACGTGAGTAATACTATTTTCTGAACAGAATTATCTGAGTAATTGTCATGTTGGCAGGCAACAGAAGGAACAAAGGATCCAATGTGCGAAATACCCGTCAATATTCCAGGGGGGGTGGTCCCATTTCCCTATTGTTGCGCAATACCGATCTTGAGACCCCCTTAAAATTTTGCTTTTGAGGCTTTCCGGGGGTCTCATGGGTTAATCGGGGGTGTCAGACCCCCCATATTTCGCACACTGTAAGGATCCAATCTGCAGCCTTTACAGACATAACCCCTGCCCCTTTATTTATGGTGGGAATAAGTGCTGAAGATCTTGGGGCCGCATTTATAAAAAAGTTGCATAGAAACCATCTAACATTTCATTTCTGAAAAGTGCGTGTGAGTCAGAGAAAATGAACGCAAGCAGAAAAAAAAATGTGTGTACGCCACTTTCACAGATGTGCAATCTATAAATCAAGAATGATCCTGAAAATATGCACCGCTGAAAACCAATGCATGTGTGTGGGGTTTAGGGTCGTGAGACAGACATATTGAGTGCCCAGCAGTGCCCTCTGCTGGCCAAACAGGAACAGGCGGAGGTAGGATTTGACAGTAATACTGCTTGCTTAACGTGTATTTGAGGCTAACTAAAAAGGAAGGGTTACTATGTCTTTTCGGTGTATGCACACAACCTTCGGAACAATCTCCCATTTAACATCAGCTCATCAATTACTTTTTTCAGATCTGGACTGAAAACCCACTTGCAGGCTGGCTTGTGCAGCAGATTAACAAAAGTCTATTGTTAATCTCTGCTTTCTCGCTCCTGTGGAGTTATTGTTTGTTCAGGCACTATTATTGTACAGTTTGGTCTTAGTCAGTAGTTACCTGCAGATTTTGTACCGCACTTTTATAAATTTCATTTGTTTTTAAATGTGCTTTATAAATGGGAAAATTTACTTACTTGCTAATACTGTTTACATACTTTGCCATCCATGCTTGCGAATATCTCATGGTGTGTTTTTGTTGATATTCAACCTTCATATTCAAATCTATAGTCTGATACACTATCTGGACAAAAGTATTGGGACACCTGGCCATTACACCTACAGGAATTTCTAAATCCATAGGCATCAATATGGAGCTGGTCCCCACTTTGCAGCTATAACAGCTGCCACTCTACTGGGAAGACTTTCCAGAAGATTTTGGAGTGTGCCTCCAGGAATTTTGCCCATCCATCCAGAATTGTTGCTCCCACAAAGTTGGAAGCATATAATTGTCTAAAATGTTTTGGTTTGCTGAAGCAGTAAAAAAACCTCCCTCCAATGACACGAAGGGCCCCAGTCCAACCCCTGAGAAACAGCCCCATACCATTATCCCTCCTCCACCAAACTTTACAGCTGGGACAATGCAGTCAGGCAGGTAATGTTCTCCTGGCATCTGCCAAACCCAAACCCAGATGGAGTGGTGCTTTACACCACTCCATTTGACACTTGGCATTGTGTTTGGTGATGTGAGGCTTGCATGCAGATGCTCGGCCATGGAAGCCCATTCCATGAAGCTCCCAGAGCATGGTTTTGTACTGGGGTTAATGCCAGAGGAAGTTTGGAACTCTGCAGCTTTTGAGTCAACAGAGTGTTGGTGATTTTACGCACTATGCGCCTCAGTGCTCTGCAACCCCACTCTGTTATTTAATGTGGTTTGTCACTTCATGGCTGAGATTCTCTTGTTCCTAAACGCTGCCACTTTGCAATAATGCCACTTACAGTTGACAGTAGAATATCTAGCAGAGAAGAAATTTCATGAACTTCAAAGGTGGCATCTTGTGGCAGCACCACACTTGAGACTCACCTTGTCTCTGACGCGTGGGTGGCCTGCGCTCCTCCTAGAGATGAGTGACAGCTGTCTCTGAACCCACAGCAGCTCCGCCCGGGATCTCCTCAGGAGCTCCTCCACATCCCGTGACCTCTGACCTCCCATAACCTCCTGCAACTCACATGCGGGACCACGGATGAACAGGATGCACAAATATGAGAGCACAGAGCACCCCTACCGAGGGGAAATTACATCATTTCCTGTGTGTCATACCATCACAGTAGCGCCTATGTGACAATGGCGATCTGGTCTACTGTGTTCCAGGCAGTAAACAGTGTGCCTCCTGTGCAGGGATGTTAATCTCTTACTTCCGTTCACTTACATAACGGATTATACTTCAGCCAAACTGAAACGAAAGCACTGCAATTTGTCCGAGCTGCTGAGCCAGAGCAAAGGCCTTTTTAAGTCGTGCAGTGAGATCAGAGTGCCAGGGCAGTCCCCATAAACATACACCTGACAGAGCAGCTCTGAAGCAGCCCCACACCACTTCACGGAAACCTTTCGCTAATAAACCTTCTAAACTGAGGAATGTAATTTCTCTTTCATAGGGGGCCAGTCTCTTCACACGCTGGATGAGTGCAGGTCACATTTCTCTCCTGCCTTCCACCAGGTGGTTCTTAAGCTCCCAAACATGGTAAATGGGCTGCATTTATATAGTGCTTTTCTACTCCTACGAGTACTCAAAGCGCTTTATAATTCATGCCTCACATTCAGCATCCACACTCACATTCATGCACCGGTGGCAGAGGCTGCCATGCAAGGCACCAACCTGCACACCGGGAGCAATTTGGGGTTCAGTGTCTTGCTCAAGGACACTTCGATGGGGTCAGGAAGAACCAGGGCTCAAACCTGCAACCCTCTGGTTGCCAAACGATCTCCTGCGCCACCATCTTCCCCAAACACAAAAACATGCAGTCACAGTAGTGCAGTTCGTAACCCTGCCTGCAGATGGCGGTCTCACACAGCATGTGTGGTCACACCAGGAACCTGAGGTGACAGGCTGGACATCTCACAGGATGAGCGTACCTTTAGGGTGAGCCGGCCCAGGCAGGGGCTCGAGCTGCCAGCCTCCATCGGGGCCATAGTGGCGCCTCCAGGCCTTGTGTCTCGCTGTCTCAGATGGAAAAGATGTCAGAGAAGAAAACAAACCGCCATGTTTTCCTTCTCACCTTATCAGCATCACATACCAGCTCAATACCAGAAGGAGGAGGAAGGTAAGCAGTACAAAACACAACTAGTAGAGACAATTGATGATGATGAGAGCAACGTTCTAACCTCACATTCGCGTAGTACGTACATTTATCCAAAGTAACATACATTTTTGAGTAGTACGTACATTTATCCAAAGTAACATACATTTTTGAGTAGTACGTACATTTATCCAAAGTAACATACATTTTTGAGAAAGGAGAGTCATTCAGGCTCTAGAGCAATTGGGTTTAAGGCTCTTGCTCGGGGGCCCAACAGTGAAACCACGTTGCTGGCCAGAGATTTTGAACTGATGACCTTCTGATCACAGGTAGGGCACCTAAACCAGCATCCAGGATCCGACTCGGTACCCTGAGCATGTGCTTGCATGTTAAGGTTCTCATCCAAGGTCACATGTGGTGTGTAAAAGGCAAAAAACGGCAATGCCACCCCTGCCGGTACTTTGGCCTGGTAGAACCGCCTGGTAGAACCGCCAGTGAAAACCCCAAACATGTTGACGTACCTGAGCCGATGTCATCTAATTAATGCCACAATGCTGACGTCTTACACTATGGGGGTGTGCGGTGGAGTCAGATCCTGGGGGCGGGTGGGGTGGAGTCAGATCCTGGGGGCGGGTGGGGTGGAGTCAGATTCTACAGGGCAGGGGCTCAGCTGTTTCTGCTCCTCCTCCAACGTGAGGCGGGTTCCTCCTACCGACATAGACAGAGTCTTCTTACTGAAGTGGTTAGCACCCCACCAGAAATGAAAAGGGTGTTTTCACAACAAATACGTGTACACTCACACAACCAGATGTGTGTGCACTCACATGTGTGAAAAAAACACAAACACCAGCAAGCATAAGCAAGGAGAAACCAAGATATCATCGCTTCACCTCGGCTTTGCAGTGGATGTGAAATTATATTTACTCATGTAGAAATACTATTAATAACTGCTGTTTTGTATTATTAAAAGCAAATATAGATGAGGCTGCAATAATACTGCATCCATTCATCCATCAATTTTCCAGACTCACTTGTCTTATGCAGGGTCCAGCCTCATAAATGCACGGTACACTTTACTGAAGAGAGCAATAATACTCCAGCCTCATAAATGCACGGTACACTTTACGGAAGAGAGCAATAATACTCCATCCTCATAAATGCACGGTACACTTTACTGAAGAGAGCAATAATACTCCANCCTCATAAATGCACGGTACACTTTACTGAAGAGAGCAATAATACTCCAGCCTCATAAATGCATAGTACACTTTATTGGACAGAGCAATAATACTCTAACCTAATGAATGCACAGTACATTTTACTGAACAGAGCAAAAATACCCCAACCTTATACATGGTGCACTTTACTGGACACAGCAACACTTTGCTCATTCTCTTTACTCTTGATGATTATTCAGCTAAACTTAACACAGTGATTAAAAATCTTGGTGTCAGTTTCATACAACCCCAGTGTTTGCTTCCCTCTCAAGGGGCAGCTTGTCCATCTGTACTGGGCTGTAGATCATCTTCCTATCAAGCTCTGTAGCTAAGTGTTTTCCGGCAAATACTTGGTATTCTGAATCACCCGCAGTCATTACGTCCACATTAAAACCATACTTGGTCAGTTTAGCTTACAGGGATAGGGATACTAGCTCTGGGTAGTTACTCAGCCAGTTCCTCACCTGGATCATGCTGCATAGCTGGTCCTACTGAAGCTTCTGTGTGCTCCTCGCCCTGCTATCTTACAGACATGCTCATGAACTGCCTTGATCCTTCCCCCTGCTGGCAACCACACCAAGTGAATGAATGGGGGGGGTGGTGGGGGGTCCAGCATCTAACAAGGCTGAGAACAACCCAGGATGGGGCACCAACTCATCACATGGCACACTCACACACCATTCACTCATACAGGCACTTTGGCAACTCCAATTGACCTCAGCATGTTTAGGGGGAAACCGGAGTACCAGGAGGAAACCCCACAACGACACGAGGAGAACAAGCAAACTCCACACACCTGGAACCCTGGTGGACACTTGAACCCAGGTCCCAGAGGTGTGAGGCAACAGTGTTAACAACTGCACCACCAGGCTGCCCCCAATTATTATTATTATTATTAGTAGTAGTAGTAGTAGTAGTAGTAGTAGTAGTAGTAGTAGTAGTAGTAGTAGCAGTAGTAGTAGTAGTAGTAGTATTGTACTGCATTCTCTCTAAACAAATGTGCTTGCTTTGCCTTGCACCTCTGTGTCACACTCTATTCCTTCTTCTGTCTCTCCCAACCTTTCCCAGGTATCTTACCTGTACCACAAGTGGTCTTGAGAAGAAGAGGCCAGATCCACATGTTGTGCTGATCTTCCTGATGCATCACCAATGCAATATCACCAATGATTTATCACCATGTATTGTGTCATTACCGGTTTCTAGGTACTCCTCCATGCCTGAAGACTCCGTCTGGACCATGTGGACTGCCCATAACCTCTCCCTGTGGCTTCCCTCTGGACAGTGAGGAGTCCTTCCTCTCCCTGTGGCTTCCCTTTGCCCAGTGAGGAGTCCTTCCACTCCCTGTGGCTTCCCTTTGCCCAGTGAGGAGTCCTTCCACTCCCTGTGGCTTCCCTTTGGCCAGTGAGGAGTCCTTCCTCTCCCTGTGGCTTCCCTCTGGTCAGTGAGGAGTCCTTCCTTGCCCTGCGGCTTCCCTCTGGCCAGTGAGGAGTCCTTCCTCAACCTGTGGCTTCCCTCTGGTCAGTGAGGAGTCCTTCCTTGCCCTGCGGCTTCCCTCTGGCCAGTGAGGAGTCCTTCCTCACCCTGTGGCTTCCCTCTGGCCAGTGAGGATTCCCACCAATGCACAGTACTCTATCGTCCCTCACTGCTCCCCATGTCTTCCTAGAAGAGCCACCTGAGTAGAGCAGAGAGGTCCAAGTTCCACCTCCACCAATGAAAATTGAACCCAGAGAGAAATGAGAAACAGAAACATATAGACCCCTAACTTTGTGTACATGTGTATACTGAATTCTGGTACTAATGTTGCACAGCAGAAGGAGAAAGAGCCTGTTATCCCTCTCCCTCACTCTCTTCATCTCTCTCCCCTTCTCTCTGCTCTCTCTCTCATCCTCTCCTGCTCTCTCTGTATTTGCTGAGTACTTGCTGTGCCGCCATCTGGCACCACGTGGGTGGGGCACGGCTAAGGGACACAAACTCACATCCAGGTACCCCCCCCCCCCCCCCAGTGCTGGGACCCTGAAGGGCCGCTGACATACACCCGGTGCTGGCCCCCCACGCCGCCAGGCTGTGAGCCAGAATGGAGCCAAAATAGGAGCTACATGAAACTGGGGCACTGGAGCCAGAATGGAGGCTGCATGAAACTGAGGTACTATGAGGCAGAAAAGAGGCTACATGAAACTGGGGCTCAGTGTGTGAGAATGGATGCTGCATGAAAATGAAGAACTGACAGCCAGAATGCTGGCGGAATGAAATTGCAACACTGAGACCCAGAATGGAGGCAGAATGAAACTGAGGCACTGAGATCCAGAATGGAGCTAGAAGGAAAGCTGCATGAATATGAGGTACAATGAGCTAGAATAGAGGCTACATGAAACTGGTGCACTGGGAGCCAAGATGGAGGCTGCATAAAACTGGGGCACTAGGAGGTAGATTTAAAGCCAGATTAGATCAGTGGTACTCGGAGCCAGGAGGGACCTGATGGTGACGATGACCAAAATAGAATAAAGAGAAGAAGAAGCCAAAAATGAATCTTGAGAGAACCAAAATAGAAGCTGGAGTGAAAGACACCCTGAAAATGGAAGCGCTAAGAATATCCCTATGAGCTGTGCCTGTGGATTTTCCCGCTGGCCTACCAGGTGAAGCAAACCCCTGAGTGCAGCATTGCATGTGCGCACTGTCCCATGTGTCACCAGGATTAATATCATCTCTGACAACAGTGTCCTACAGAGGCCTACTGTGGCCAAGGATGGTTTATCATAGACTATAATTCAGGGTATGCAGTGTGACTCTAGAGGCAGCTGACAGGAACCGGCGGGCCAAGCGGAATGCGGCTTCGGCAGTCGAAGAGGCAAAAACTCAGGAGTTTGGCGAGGCCATGGAGAACGACTTCCAGACGGCTGCGAGGGTATTCTGGTCCACCATCCGGCGTCTCAGAGCGGGAAAGTGGTGCAGCATCAACACTGGACTCCCCTATCTCTGGGGCGGAGGTCGCTCAGGTGGTTACTCAGAGTCCTGCAGTATTGGGGGGGGTGACGGGTCACTGCGGTGGGCGGGGGTGCCGGGTCACTGCGGTGGGCGGGGGCTCCTCCGGCTCTGGGGGTGTGGTGGGCTCCCGGTTGATGGGGCCCTTCGGCCCTGGACCCGCTTGCCTCGGTGGGAGGGTCGCAGGCAGAAATGGGGGGTTCGCTGCCCGTCCCCCCCTCTGCGGGCCTCCTTGTCGTGGTTGGTGCCCCCTTAGTCCCTCTGGGGCTCCCTCTCGGGTTGGGCGGGCGGTTGTCTCGGGGACGTGTGGCCGTGGGCCCTTGTGCCATGGGGGTGGACGGGTGGCCTCGGTTGCCTGGTTCCCCCTGCCTTCGCCTTGGGCTCGGGGGGGTGGGGGGGTGGCACTGTCACGCCCCCCCAGCGGCATTAACTACCAGTACATCCAATGACAAATCAGTTCACACCTACACTTGCACATATAAGAATGGCCGCATACGAGGTTGAGCGATCAGTATCATTATTATTATTACTTTTTAGAGTTATAGATATAGGAATTGAAATATACACTCACCTAAAGGATTATTAGGAACACCATACTAATATGGTGTTTTACCCCCTTTCGCCTTCAGAACTGCCTTAATTCTACGTGGCATTGATTCAACAAGGTGCTGAAAGCATTCTTTAGAAATGTTGGCCCATATTGACAGGATAGCATCTTGCAGTTGATGGAGATTTGTGGGATGCACATCCAGGGCATGAAGCTCCCGTTCCACCACATCCCAAAGATGCTCTATTGGGTTGAGATCTGGTGACTGTGGGGGCCATTTTAGTACAGTGAACTCATTGTCATGTTCAAGAAACCAATTTGAAATGATTCGAGCTTTGTGACATGGTGCATTATCCTGCTGGAAGTAGCCATCAGAGGATGGGTACATGGTGGTCATAAAGGGATGGACATGGTCAGAAACAATGCTCAGGTAGGCCGTGGCATTTAAACGATGCCCAATTGGCACTAAGGGGCCTAAAGTGTGCCAAGAAAACATCCCCCACACCATTACACCACCACCACCAGCCTGCACAGTGGTAACAAGGCATGATGGATCCATGTTCTCATTCTGTTTACGCCAAATTCTCACTCTACCATTTGAATGTCTCAACAGAAATCGAGACTCATCAGACCAGGCAACATTTTTCCAGTCTTCAACTGTCCAATTTTGGTGAGCTCGTGCAAATTGTAGCCTCTTTTTCCTATTTGTAGTGGAGATGAGTGGTACCCGGTGGGGTCTTCTGCTGTTGTAGCCCATCCGCCTCAAGGTTGTGCGTGTTGTGGCTTCACAAATGCTTTGCTGCATACCACGGTTGTAATGAGTAGTTATTTCAGTCAAAGTTGCTCTTCTATCAGCTTGAATCAGTCGGCCCATTCTCCTCTGACCTCTAGCATCAACAAGGCATTTTCGCCCACAGGACTGCCGCATACTGGATGTTTTTCCCTTTGCACACCATTCTTTGTAAACCCTAGAAATGGTTGTGCGTGAAAATCCCAGTAACTGAGCAGATTGTGAAATACTCAGACCGGCCCGTCTGGCACCAACAACCATGCCACACTCAAAATTGCTTAAATCACCATTCTTTCCCATTCTGACATTCAGTTTGGAGTTCAGGAGATTGTCTTGACCAGGACCACACCCCTAAATGCATTGAAGCAACTGCCATGTGATTGGTTGATTAGATAATTGCATTAATGAGAAATTGAACAGGTGTTCCTAATAATCCTTTAGGTGAGTGTAGGTGTATATGTGTATGATCACATGTGTGTATGCCACATATATATGATACTATATGATATTATATATGACAAAAAAATGTGTAAATTTGGTCATTTGAGGTTTGGGCCAAAAATGGAAGGTAGGATTATGTGAATCCTGCTCCTGGTTAGATGCCCAGTCGCCGCCTCCTTCAGTGAGAATGACTGTCAGGCTGACTGACACTAGATGGCGATCTCGCTTCTGCAGTACCAGGATGGGAACTAGCAGAGAAAGCAGACACTATATGGACAAAAGTATTGGGACACACCTCTTAGTCATTGAATTTAGATGTTTCATTCAGACCCTTTGCCACAGGAGTGTAAAATCAAGCAGCTAGTCGTGCAATCAGGTTTACAAACATTTGTGAAAGATTGGGTTGTTCTGAAGAGCTTAGTGAATTCAGGTGTGGTGCTGTCACAGGATGCCATCTTTGCAATAAGTCAGTTCGTGAAATTTCTTCCCTGCTACTTATTCCACGGTCAACTGTAAGTGATGTTCTTGCAAAGTGAACACATTTAAGAACAACAGAAACTCAGGCACAAAGAGACAGGCCACATAAATAACAGCAGGGTCATCGAGTGCTGAGGCGCATAATGCATAAAAGTCACCAACACTCTGTTGACTCAGTAACTGCAGAGTTCCGAACTTCCTCTGACGTTAACCTCAGCACAAAAACTGCAAGCCAGGAGCTTCATGGAAGCTCATTCTATCCCAGCCTATCCCAGTGCAGCGTATCTGAGAGCTTTCTAACCCAGCCTATCCCAGTGCAACGTATCTGAGAGCTTTCTAACCCAGCCTATCCCGGTGCAGCGTATCTGATGAAATCATACACCTCGTTCATTTTTCACCTGCCCTCATCATATTTTGAATTTGTCTTCTCCGTGGCATGCCCGCCTGCGCCATCTGCATGGCATGATTACTGACTGTCAGTGCCACTGTGGGATGTACCCCACCGCTGTGATATAGCAGCTCTGAGAAACAGCATAGTCCTGTGCTCCAGGTGATCACTATAGTGTGCTTAAGCATGCATTTGACGCTTTGCTCCAGGTGATCACTATAGTGTGCTTATGCATGCATTTGACGCTTTGCTCCAGGTGATCACTATAGTGTGCTTAAGCATGCATTTGACGCTTTGCTCCAGGTGATCACTATAGTGTGCTTAAGCATGCATTTGACGCTTTGATTCAGGTGATCACTATAGTGTGCTTAAGCATGCATTTCACGTTTTGCTCCAGGTGATCACTATAGTGTGCTTAAGCATGCATTTCACGCTTTGCTCCAGGTGATCACAATAGTGTGCTTAAGCATGCATTTCACGCTTTGTTGGTATCATTGACAAAAGGATGTCTGTCATAGCCTTTTAATTCTGGTAGCCTGGCGTTTGGCTTCAGAAGAGGCTAGGGGGCACTGTACCGGTCTGGCACGCTCAGCCCCCCCACTTGCGTACTTATCCTGATGGATATTTCATGCCTGGCCGCTTTTGCAAACCCCCCTGCATATGAACACCGTGAGTCTTGTTTTTCTGCACAATCCATCAATAATATCATATCTTCACCTTACGCAGGCGTGTTCTCTACCTGGGGGGGGGGTGGGGCCTTATCAGCTTTCTGTACCCCGCCACCCCACCCCACCCCACCCCGAAGGCAGACCTCACTATTTTACAGGGGGATGCGTCTGTTTGGGCTGTTTGTCGAAGCGCTTCTCCATCTTTAGACGAAGCATATTAAGAGCTGCTTGCCTCTCTGTCGCTCGTGAACAGCGCCTTTTTGGAACCAGTTTCATGTCCTGCACAGAGTCTAGGCGGCGCCAGGTGATATTGGTCCCCTTTATCGCTGCTGCTTCCATTTCCAGGGACCATGCTGGCTACTGCGTTCTGAATAACGCAGAATAGCAGAAAAGGGCAAATTTGTTTTTACTTGTTTAATTAAACAAGGCACAGACACTTAGTGTGCTGGCTACACTCCATCACATACTACAACCCAAATCTGGGTGCCGTAAAGGACAAAACCTACCAATCTATATTGATGACAGGTCTGCAGAGGCACAGGTGACGAGGCAGCAATAAGAGACCAAAACAAACACAGCCAATTACTACATGCAAGGAAGCGCAATCTTTACATGATCATCTTGCACAGACTGCCTCCTAGTCCCAGCTTTCGGCTCCAGTCCACAGCCTCTCAGATTTTGGGACTGCCCCCTTGTGGTACTAATGCAAAATGCAGCAGTCCAGCCATGTCAATTAAAACTTCCCTATCCACCTTAAAGGGGGAGATTCTGTAGAAAGGGGGCATGAGAATTCAAAAAATCTAAGCTTGGCACAGAGAAGTAAACTGTGAACGAGGCAAATAAATTCATTAGTCATAACAAGCACTACAAAGCCACAATTAGCATAACATTTTTCATGTTGGACATCTACATGTCAATTTAAGTTTCACCCGTACCAGGAAATCTATTTGTTGGTTTCATTGTACATTTCAAATCGGATGTAACCGAATGACACATGACAAAGATGCACATACACATAACAATAAATGAATTCCGACTACTAGTATTTTCAGACCACAAAGTTTCAGTTTGATCCCTGATTTCATTGCTTCCCCTGCTGTGCGCTTACACTCTTATACACCATATACTGTATTTTCATATATTTGATGATTAGTTGGTTTCTGATGTACATGGTTTCTCTCATTGGCTGCAGACTTCACCACCTGAAAGATAAAACAGAAGAAATGACGAACACATGAAGTACTGGAATAATGAAATGTCTGAGTCGTGGAGTTAATTATAAGAGACTCACCGTAAGAGTATCGTAGTTGGGTGAGCTGTTTCTTACATCCAGCGTTGCATAATTATCACTGTGAGAATCTGTAGCACAGTTCTGTGCAGATACAATGTTACATTCCTTTTTTAAATTAATATGAAAAAGTTATTCCCATTTATACAACCAAACTGGCCAATCAGAATTGAACATAAAACAGGAAATGGCTTCTGCTGATCAGTTCTAGGATGGACACAAACCATGCAGCTACATCCAAGGCTTCAATCTCCACACAATCTGACATTTATGGCCTTTTATTTAGCTGATCTATTTTGGCACATCTGTAGGACAGTGACGTCATTTTGTACATATTAGGAATGCTGAAGTCATGGAGATCAGTGATGTGCAATGAACAAACTAGTTCTTTTGTGTTTGTTTTGGTCTTTGAATGAACTTACTGATAGGATGACATTAAAGAATGGATCTCTTTCGACGCAGACTTCATTTCGGGAAATAGCTTATCAGTAAAATGCATCAGCAAAACGTTCATGACGACAACTAGCTAATAACTAACCTGGTAGAAGCCATGAAGCACCTCCACATGACCACTTCACTCTGAGCGATTATGATAGTCTCAGTCCACTAACTGATTTAACAAAGCATTTTGCCTCAACTGATCTGAAGTACTGTAGTGGAAATTATGCATTTACACATAGTGGAAAATTCTGTGTTTAATAGAAAATATTTGCTATGATCACAAGGTGCAAAAACTGTGTTACAAAGCACTGTCTGTGTGAGAGGCGGGTCGCTGAGCAGCTGAGCAGGAGAAGGTCACACTGATAAGTACAGAGCTGGTTCTGACTGGTTCTGTTTGGTTGCACAAAGAGAAGACAGTAACTGTGAACCTTCTTTCTTATCGCATAGAATGATAAACATGAACCAGAAGTACAAAGGAGCTGCGCAAGAAAATAACTGTGGGCACTTGCTTGCGGGCACGGTGTCCCGGCTTATTTGATGCATCAAATAACCTAATAAAAAACTTTACTGCCTTCATACCCTGTCTTTGGCTACAAGTACCATTTCACTGAATGATACGCCAGTACAATACATTGAACTAGTTCACCAAAAGAATCGGTTATTTCACTGAACAAACGAACTGCCGACATACACAACATACTGAATCTCAGTTCACTGACTGGAGCACGTACGCATTAGAGCGCCATCTTCTGGAATTAGTTAGTATTTTTTTCATAGCGACATATAAACCTATAATTATAATATGAACAATCCAACTTTTTTAGCTTACATTTTAACTCCAACATACGCTAACAGTTCTGTATTAAATACAGACACATACTGATGTCATACTCAACCTATCCCAGCCTATGTTGGTTATAGGCTCGTTTAATCATAGTAAAACCATTGAGTCTACAGTTAAGCTATTCAATTATTCAAATTCCTTCAATGAGCTTTACAGCTTGACAACGAATGTTTCATAGTTGAATCGTGAACTCGTTTTATTTTGAAGTTACCACATCTCTTGTGGTGTGTAATAATTCTGATAGTGAAGCTTATGCTTTTCTGTAGATTTCACAGGATAACCATGAAAAGCGTGCCAATTCATCGTAAAAACTTTAACTGTGAAAGTACATAGTAAAACTGTAAAACAAGTTTACATTTTTTTCTGGACCGTGCAACCGGAAGCGATTTTTCTGGTTGTCCCATAGAGTGGCTAGAATTGAACTAAATGAGAGGTGGATATTGTTTTGCGTTGGACTGACCATATATGCTTCAGACAGAAATCGACAAAATCAATTTTGTTCTGGCAATAGGGTGACTGCACCTTAAGCTGAATTGCACAATCAATCGCCAATCCCTCCTCCCTCCCCCACCCATTTGGCAAAACCTACTAAGGGCTTATAAAACTAATCTAAACATGAAATTACAACTAAATTAGCAAGCTCAGTAAAAATACAAACCGAAATAAAAATGGTCAAAAACTAATTAAACTAAAAAGAAATTAAACTAAAAAGGAAACAAAATTGAACGTTCATTCATTCATTAAAAATGCAGATAAAATTACCTTGGTTCTTCCTCCTTGGTTATCTTCCACACTCAGTAAAGTAGTCTTCCTCCTAAAGCATATTAATCAGTCCTTGAGCAGTACTATAGTACACTGACTAGGTGAACATATGTGCCCCATCCAGGGATGTAAAAAAATATTTTTTAAATAAATAAAAATTTATCCTATATCTACAAAATACATGACCTGGGTCAAAATAAATATATATTATATACATTTATATAAATATTGGGGCTGTCGATCGATTAAAAAAACTTAACTAATCACACATTTTGCAATAAATTAATTGTACGGAAGAGGATTAGGGCCACCATGAAAATATTATTTGAATTATGACTTTTTTCCTCAGAATTCTGACTTTAATCTCAGAATTCTGAGAAAAAAGTCAGAACTCTGACATTAAAGTCAGAATTCAAATAATATTTTCATGGTGGCCCTAATACTCTTCAGTATAATTGCGATTAGTCAGGATTTAAAACTTTCTTCCTAAGACTGTGTGATGACATCGTTAATCACGTTAATTTATTTCAACGCGTTTTTTTTAATTAATCACAACGATTAATGTGTTAATTTCCACAGCCAAAATAAATATATGAAGATGTAAAATATAACTTGGCATTTGTAAATCATAAATATACTTTTATAGAGAATGAAATATAAAACACTCACTTCATCATGCAGATGATAATTACAAGAGTAATAGCTAAAATGGCCATGGATATCCCAACAACAATGAATAAAAATGTTGGATTTGATTTAGCTGTAAAAGGAGGGAAATAGCAAAATAAGCTTAGTCTGTTCAGTTATTTCTAGATATATAATTATCGTTCTTTTTTTTCCCAAAATGCACCATTGAAGCATGTAATTTCTTATGGACACACTGAGATTTGTGCTGTTGAAGAAGGCAGAAACCGAGGAATGTTACTTAACAGCTAAAGCGCAAAGACGCTATTTGATGCAATTCCTTTGCTGTAAACTAAGGGAATCTGAGCCACAGATTACTCACATCTGAGCAGGTTCTATTCACTTGCTTTTATTAGAATAGTTTCTGTCTGTACCAGATGTTGCTCAATACATGCAACGCACTGAAACCCACCATTGTTTTATTCCTTTCCAGCCTTGAACATTGTAAGATAAGGAGCACCAAATAGTTTTGAACTCGGTCCCAGGTGCAAAAACTAATTATAGAATGTTCTGCAAAGCCTTGGTCAGTAGTATCTCTTAATTATGCAGTAATGTGACTCCTCCTGAAGGCCCAATAACTGCCTGAGGAATCGTTCATCTCTGGTCACTACATCAACAGCTTGTTAGTGTGTGTCCCCCTACAAAGCAGTGAAGGGGAAATGCATGCAGCACTGAATTTCTGTAGTTTATTAATCCAACTAGAAAATATAATATTCTATTCATATACAAACCAAGTCTGCAGCTGGCAATTGGTGACTCAGTGTGTATCCCTGTAGCCTCACACATTTGGGGTTGTGAATATGATCCTTAATGCTCTATATGTATAGAATTTGCATGTTTAATGGTTGTTCCTCCAAAAAAAAATACAGCTGAGTGAATTGGTATCAACTGAATCGTCCACAGAGTGAAATAGTTTGAATAGTTTGTGTCTTGACATGGACTGGCATCCTGTCCAGGGTGTACCCTGTCCTGTGAAGGATCCTATCCAGGGTTTACCCTGTCCTGTGAAGGACTGGCGTCCTGTCCAAGGTGTACCCTGTCCTGTGAAGGANACCCTGTCCTGTGAAGGACTGGCGTCCTGTCCAAGGTGTACCCTGTCCTGTGAAGGATCCTATCCAGGGTTTACCCTGTCCTGTGAAGGACTGGCATCCTGTCCAGGGTGTACCCTGTCCTGTGAAGGATCCTATCCAGGGTTTACCCTGTCCTGTGAAGGATCCTGTCCAGGGTGAACCCTGTCCTGTGAGGGACTGGCATCCTGTCCAGGGTATACCCTGTCCTGTGAAGGACCCTGTCCAGGGTGAATCCTGTCCTGTTGCCCATGTTTCCTTTTGAAAGGCTGACTGTCACTCACTGTGAGCGGTTACAGGAGTTTGTTGGATAACAGAATGGAAGTGGGCGGACTTACTGATTATAGAGGTGCACTGTTATGGAACCTGATAAGTTGTATTATAATTTTCTAGGTAATTTGAATATTAGAGGCACTAACACAGACAGCTTAGAACCAACACAGTAGGAGTACAGAAATATTTTACGCATTCTTCTGTTAGTACAAAACGGTGACGTCAGAATGAAACCATTTGGGTTTGGTACTCGTGTTGTATACTCACAGAATCAATCTAAATACTCACACTGAACATTGAGTAGGATGACATCAGACTCAGTCTCCCTGTATCCTTTCAAAGCACACCAGTATTTTCCAGAGTGATGATAGGAGACAGGATCAAACTGAAGTGTGGACTGAGTCTCTGGCAGGTGCTGGTTGTCCTTAAACCAGGTGAATTCCAATTGGCTGTGAGAGCAGTTCCCTGTGTCACATGTCAGATTCACAGAGTCTCCTTCTCTTAATGTACCATTTCCTCCAGATGATGTCATCACCAACTTGAGTTCTAAAAGTTACAGCATGTATTTGAGATTTCTGCAGCAGTTATAAGGTATTTCAGTTTTAAGGTTCTTTTAATCCCTTGCCACACGTTAGAGCCTCAGACTCTCTCCGACTTCTTTATCTCTACTAGATGAGGTCATAACCATCTTTAAATCTAAAGTTAAACAAAGTCATGCGTAATCATGTCACTCTTTTGTATCATTTTATGGAATCACATGGAATCACAGTCTCCACCATAATCTAATTTTGTAAATACAGTGATACGTTGGAACACAAACTTAATTCATTACAGGAGGCTGGTTGAGTTGCATTATGGTCGAGGTCCAAGTAGAATTTCCCCATAAGAAATAATGTAAATTAATTAAATCCAATCCAGACCCCCAAATGATTACCTATTTAAACTTATCTACCTACCTACCTGATAATAAAAGCATTGACAATTAATATAAAACCAATACACACATGAAAAATCACACATACAAAAGCAATAAACATTAAATAAATGACAATCCCACACTCCAAAGAGAGAGCAGACACAAGTGCACCAGCTTCAAGTCTCACTATAATTTCCTTTTTAAGTTCTATAGTTACTCTGAATACATTACTTTTTGGTTTGCTGCTATCACTGCTCACTTTCTTACGAACCATGATTATTGTATCACTAAATGTACTGTAGATAAAGCACAAAAAATCCACACTGAACACAGGAACACAGCTTTCGCATGTCAAACTCGGTCGAGAGGCACCGAGTTCATTGGCATAAGCGTCTCAGCAGGTCTGTTTGCCCTTGTGTCGGCCCATCAGAGATGCATCGATCCGTACAAGTTTTAGCGGGTCTTGGTTTGTTATGTTCCAAGTTTTTGGTCAAGTTGTGGCTAGATTTTTTTTGATTGACCTGTTCGAGGTCCGTATTGGTGGAGTTGAATGCGTCTCGACCCATAAATGTTTTAGCAGGAATTGGCAAGTTCCAAGATTTAGGTTGAGGTGCATGTCAAAAAAATGCCCCAGGTATTCTTGATTGGCTGGGAGTTGGATGGGAGCAAAAATGTGGAAAACTGGGGGTCCCTGAGGACTGGGTTGGGAAATACTGCAACAGACCAATAGACCTTTAAAGCAGGAGTTATTATAATCCCTCTTTGTATGGAGCTTGGCATGTTCTCTCCCCTGTAACCTTGCTCAAGATAAGTGGCTGGGGGAATGGATGGATGGATGGATGAACAAAAAGCTTTTTATAAATACTTACCATCAACTTTAAGAGTCACTCCAGGCTGTCCAGTCCAACTTCCCACTTGCCTATCAGTTGTCAATCGGAATCTATACACTCCAGCATCAGTACCTGTAATGTCCTTTATCTTTAATGTACAGTTTTTCTCTGTGTTCCCCAGGTACTCTGCCCTGTCTTTNCTGTGTTCCCCAGGTACTCTGCCCTGTCTTTGTACTCAGCTTTTATTTCAGTCTTATCAGTATGATACACATAAGGTGGCTGACCAAGACACTCAGAATTATGACACCACATGACATCCTGCACACTATATCCTGATGGATAATCATATTCACAGGGAATGACCACAGCAGATCCTCTCACAGCACAGATTGGACTCATTGGATACTTTACACTCCAGTCACCACTCAAGACACCTGGAAAACATCAATAATAGTCAATGGCAACATGACATAAAAGGAACTGGTTCACTTTTTTATAATGAGAAATGAGTCATAATAAAGCAAAAATACATGCTATTCTGCAGCTTACTGAAGTTCCACCAGGGAGGTGATTTCGCCAAAACATTTATACCTTCAGGACAAATTAGCTAGTGATGGGTGAAATTACTCCTTTTTTGGGGACACAGTTCATTCAGTTTAGTTCACCTGAAAGATTTGTGTTTCGATTCGTTCACCACCTCCTTTAGTGGCACTCCCTGTTTGCATGAAATTGTTTGGAAATATGTGAAAAAATTACCCGTTATTTAGGCTAAATAGTGCTATGGTGTAAACTAAATACGCCATATAATACCAATAAGTCATGTGAGAAAAATAATATTTGTTATTGAATTATAGTCTAAGTCTGTTGAGCAATTAGGCGCGCTTCCAACTTTCAAAGAATTTATCCACAATTTCTTCAACCCTCTTCCTGGGTGTTTTATTTAGAGCAACTCAGCAGACTCTCAAACAGTGTCGCCACAGTTGAATAATAATTCTCTAATATTCGTTTTAACAAACCGCACCACGATCAACCGTGGCTCTTACTTTCATAGTACAACTTACAACCGAACAGCCATATGTGACAGTAATAATATAAAGAGCAAGGGCACAATCAATTGACATCATTTAACACTCCCACTCGCTCTTGGCTCTATAACTTCTATGGCATCTAAACAAATAAATAAAATAAATTCTATCTTTTACATTTGAAATGCCAAACATGTCTTTAACAAACACTTTTAACTTTAACTTTGTAGATGGCTTTGTCATCACATCAGCAATCATTCGACTTGTAGGACAATAGTCCAAGATTAATTTTCCACCATTTACAGCTTCCCTGATGAAGTGGTACTTGATGTCGATGTGCTTGCAGCACTGCCTGTTCACCGGGTTTCTGGCTAGTGCCACAGTACCCTGGTTGTCTTCATACCACTTTTGTCTGTGCATATTGGTAACTGTCCATACCTCTCAGTAGCTGTTCCAAGTAAATACACTCTTCTATCCCTGATGCTAAGGCAATGTATTCTGCCTCACAAGTGGAAAATGCTACTGTTGGTTGTTTCCTCATTTTCCAGGAAATTAAAGAACTTCCTTTACTTAGACTGGCACAATACCCTGTTGTACTGCGTCTGTCTTTTGTGTCCGATGCCCAGTCAGCATCACAGTACATTCTCAGACCCAGTTCTTCAGTGTCATTTCTTCTATTCAGCTGTACCTTTGAGGTATCTCAACATGTGTTTCACTGTGTTCCAATGTTCCACTGCAGGTTCAGCAAAATGCTGAGACAGTTTACTGACCACAAAGTTAATATCTGGTCATGTACATGTGGATAAGTAAATTAAACTCCCTACTGCTTCTCTGTATTCTCGGGGCTCTTTCAATTTTTCATAATTTCCTGTGTACTCTTGTTTTGGCTGACATGCAGGGAGTGTTTTTCTTACAAAGTCCCAGTGTCCACACTCACAGATTCACAGACTTCGAGGCGTATTTCTGCTAAGTCCTTGAGGACTTAGGGCTGTCCCACTGTCATATCAAGTGCACGAGGGCTCTCTCGCAGAGATTTTGACTCCTTTATGCATACTTGCCATAAGTCCACATTTCCACAGACTTTACCAGGAGAAGCCCAGAAGTTGAAATGGTAAACATACCATTTCTTTTTATTTTGCTTTTTGCGTTTCTGCTTAATGATGCTGTTTTGACAAAAAAAAAAAAAACATAATTTGACAATTACTCCTCGTCCACCATATCAGGCAAGAACCTGGAACGCGTTCAAATTAGGCAGCAAGAGTATTTAAATCAATAAACTACATTTATGAATGTTTTTAAAAAGGTTTTTAAAAAGGTTTTTAAATTATTAAACATCATTTGCATTTAGCTTGACAGTATAACCAACATGTTTTATTAGATTACGTATATACAGCTCTGGAAAAAATTACGAGACCCCTCTATATTTAAAAAAAAATCTGCATTCTTAAAGCTTGCTTTAATCCCAGTTCTGCTGGCAGGAGGCTACACTGTGAGGCAGGATGCTTTCAGGCTCAAAGTCTCTGACACAGCAGTACACAAGAACAAGGTGAAGCAGGAGACAGTGGGAATGACCAAAAACCAGCCAGGTAGAGGGCAGACGAACTTTCTAATGCCAGACGACCATAAACTTATCCGGTAGTGCCTCATAAATCAGAGGATGACCTCAATTGACCTTCAAAAAAAATGGCAAACATTATGTGGTGTGAAGTGCACTGCTAGGACATTTAGGATTGCTAGGAAGCCCTTAAAATGTTTCAAATTTCAACTACAGTAAGGCATGGACACAGCACAGACAGGCATGGCAGCATGCACACTAATCAGAATAACAGCACCATAAGCAATAGAAACACCGGAATACTATTTCTGAAAAAGTGAAATTGGCACGCGTCTCTTCAGATGAATGTGTTGGCCACTAACGACTCCATTTTGAACTACACACTGACACCCCAGGCCACGGTGACTGACGCAGTAACCTGACAAGAGGTTGAGAAATGGGCCAATCTGCCGGTTATATATGCCATTTTTGAACCAGGGACTTAAAAAACGTTATGATTAAGGGGTTTATTTGAAATGTGCATGTCCGGGATTTTGCTCTGTGTGTGTGTGTGTGTGGGCGTGCGCTCGGATGAGTGTGAACATTTACTGAAAAAGCCTGTTTATTAAAATAACTAAGGCGTTATTCTACCAAAGTTTCAAAATGTTTTTGATGTATGTCGCTAAATACCGGGCACTAGTTCCTATAGCTAACACAGGTAATTAAATAAACCGGGGCCAACTTCTTTAAAATGAACTAACAAAATACAGCTAAAATGTTTTTTGATGCTTGTTGCCTAAATGATTTACTTCACGCTCATACTATTTAAAAATTTCGCTACAACAAAACGATCCTTATACATTTAAAGAAAAACGCAAACTATATAT